TCGTATTGCTTCATAAATTTAATGCTACAAAATTAATGCATTAACGTAAAGAAAATATTTATAATTTACGGGCATGTAAGTTTACTGTAAAAAACCGAGACATGAAACTCATGGGAAAAAACGCGGAAAAAAAAGCAAACGGCAAATCGCTAATTATACAAGACTAACGCGTCACAGTGGTTACATTGCTATTTACATCTAATTACGACTGCTCATTAATTGGATAACGGCGTGACGGAATCTAATCAATGATCCTAATGGGACGCTATTATATGGCACAAGCCAAACCGAGATAATCTCACTAAGCGACGGTATATTGCTGAACCGGCGCGGAAATTTCGCCTGCCGAATAGTCGCGCGGTTCCTCATACCGATCTAGTTATCCGGCATTAACGACGCGGACACGAGAGAGCACAGCTCCAAAGGCGCGCAGACGCGATGGGACGCGTCTAACACCCCGAATGCGCTCAAGTTTCTTAACTATGGCGAACTATGCGAAGGCACCGGTGTGTAGTTCCGGAGAGCCGGAGCTTAAGACTTCGCGTGTCCCACGAATAACCCGAGTGTCTTGCCTCCGAGCGGATCCGAAAGTCACGTCTTGCGACGAGAGCATGAAGTAACCGTGGATCCCCTCCGCATTCCCCGTCGTTTAACCCTGCTGGATTTCCCGTGATAAACCCGCGCGCGCTATTTATTGTCGTCTATCTGTCGCAAGCGTCGCGTTTATCTCGTACAGTTTCATCGCTTTCGACGATTTCCCTATTTCGTCAATCTCTATGGCGGGTTCGAAGAGAGACACGCCTATTATGATAATCGTTGAATAAATTAAAAATGATATTCTCTTTTATGAATATTTGTAAATTCACATAAAATCATCAGCGTCGTTTGTAATTTGTCAATGATAAAAGAAGGACGTGGTAAACGAACACCGCATTTTATTACACGAACATTTTTTTAAATACTAAAAGTCAAAATTAAGCCGGAATATAATACGTTCTATTGTCATCCGCAGTTACTCATTAATTATGCATATAATAAATTAATTTATTTGTTCATATTATATTGAAATACATACCTATCAATCTAAATTATCCTTGCATTTCATACATAATAAATTATCTAAATTATCTTTCATTCAATATGTAACAATCTAAATTATTTTGCATTTCGTAATGTAAGAGCACTCTAATTGTATTGTTTGTAAGGTAACACCTCTTTTCTTTTTTTGTTGTTTCATGTTGTTGTTATCTTTTCATTAGGTAATGATTATAGAAGTTTTCAATCTCTTTTTGTAATCTGGATGACGACCTTCACTCCTGCCTGTTAATTATTACTAACTTCATGCATTAAAGAATTATGATAAATGAACGTTATTAATGGTTTCATACAAACTCACGCGGCTTATTTCCATTCAATTTGAAATATGCATATTTTTTGCTGAATATTAATTAAACTATTCAATGCTCTCTCGTAACTCAATAAATTCTTAAGAATAAAAATTAGTACAGCGACAAAATAATATTCCTTAATAAAAACAAGAAAAATATTGAAGGATATTGTCAATCGATATACGGAAAAAATTGTAAAGTTGTTATTCTGCACTTTGATTCAATATTTCAGGAAATCAAAAGTATGATGTTCTGAGATTTCATTAAAATCGAAGATAACCCACCCTTCCTGAAGAATGCCCGTTGGCTAAAAAGAAATAGCATCGAAGGGGTGCGATGTTTGGGATAATCGATAACGCACTTTTGATCGCGGTAGGGTAAAACATTTCCAAAGCGGTTCTCATATTGCAAACGATGATATTATCGAATCACTTCTTACGCACGGGAAAGCGTACCAAGAACGATTTGTTACTTTCTCAATTTCTATTCTCGATTGTCAACATGAAATATTAAGCCACATAAAATTAACATCCCAAGCACAAACTCAAGCAAAATCTGTGTAATATTAAATTTAGAATACAATATTTTTTGGTTTGCATCTCTAAAAATTATTTCACGGAACATTATTTATTGGTCACTTTAAATCCTCAGGAAAAAAACTCAGACTGTTATTTTTGAGATTAACATGACATAAGAAAAAACCTGTAATTTCAAAGTGATCTGTAAAATCTGCAAATAAAATTCTTCTTACAATTAGTGTTATTCACCGTCCCGTTTGTTTATTCGACGTAGAAATTACAGTAGCAGTATACGCGGCATCATATGCTCGGCCCTTAATCATACAGGCAGAAAATAATCACGGTCTTCGATAAAACGCCGACACGGCAACTCGAGCCTTGCATATGGCATCGACAGATGCTCTCTGCGACAAACCGCTCGCCAGCTTCGAGGAGTGCGAAACGAACGGGCCTGGGCAAAAACGCATTCGCATCACACACGTGTCGAATTTCGTCAAACGTATTTCCTTTTTCCTTCGCGCAAGCGTCACACGACACCTTTGGAAATCGCTTGAATATAATCCGCATAGAAGTGACGGCGGTAGCGTGTGCCGACGCCGTAATTAGGGTGGTCTATTCGTGAATGCAGAGCGCGCAAGGTGGACCACAAATACTATTACTGTAATTATTATTTATTACGATTATAAAGCCGATCGCCCGACATTTAGATATAATATTACTATAATGCGAGCGATATAAAATCGAGTTTACAATAGCGATGGATCTTTGCTATCGCTAAACAAATTATCTGAAAAGTATATATTCAATTGCATTGAAATATTTCATAACTTTTAGTTGAGCGTAATCATCATTTAATATAATTTTTCGATAAGATATAAAATATAGCAGAAACAAATCGTGACATTCTGCAGTAAAAAAATGTTAACAAATTTATTAATTTTATTTTCAATATACTTGATATGAAATAATTATTGATAATAAACTAGAATAAACTAGAATAAACTAGAACAAAACTAGAATTTTGAATAATGCACGAAAAATCAAAACTGATCGAGATATCTCCAAAGGGCAGCGTTTATTGTTCTGTCAATGCATGAAACATGAAAGATTCACAGACATCTCTCTCAAGGACGATGTTCGCCCGCCGCGTTGCTCGCTTCCAGCCACGTAGGGCGCATTACACGCTGCGGACGATTCCGCACCGTGGCGAATGCAAATGTCGCGTGGTGCCGCACGCAAGCACGGCGTAGCACAAAGTCGTCTTCGCGCTCGCGAGAGATCAACGATCGCAATCACCGATGTCACGGGGACGACTTATTGGCCGGGCGACTCGTCTAATAGATCGATACCACCCGTTATTACCGTCCACCCCGAGACGGCCGCGCGCGGCCGTACGCGGCGTCCTACAAATAACACGCCGGGCGGTTTGTTAATGAGGTATCCGACCGGCCGGCCCCGAGAGTGCACGTGACCGGATCTCTGCCCGTTTTCATTCTCTGCAACGAATACCGACCTACCGAGAGTGCCGCGATTTCCACGCTTCCGCGCGCGCCGTACATACCCTCCGTCGGATCCGCGAGGATCGCGCAATCTAAGATTACACGCCGCTTACAACGCGTTTGTTAAAGACACGAGTTTTCCCTTTCGGTAATGATCGACCGTGGCTGAGCTTCGACAAAACTGAGAAAGATGGATCGAAATTTGTTTATGCAAAAGTATAAAAGTTTTGTTAGAAAGCGTAAAACAATTGTTCTGGAAAGTTCAATAGAAATTGATGTGTGTAATAAATTGGAACTATAGAATTTACGTGACTCTAAGCTTATTAAAAGCCGTATATCGAATATGTATATCGAATATCGTACTTGATATATTGCATCTCTATGCGTGTAACAAGTAGTGTTAGTTTATACGCTTCATGTAATTCCTCTCTTTCTAAGTTGTAAACGCCGGCATTGCAAACTTAATAGCACTTAAATAAATTTGTCCAGAAGCTGGACGTTAAATTAACAGCATCGTTAGCACAGCAATCGTTATTTTAATTGACGACGGGAACTGATATTATATGAATCGAGTTCTTGTCGTGTTCATTCAGCGACGCGCGCGAGGAATCTAGGCTTCTTACTGCGCGCATCTTAAACGCGTGTTTAGTATTTAACATTCCTTTTGGATGCTTTTTACGATACTTGAATTTACAATCAATTATTAATAATAAAGAGTTTGTAAAATATAATTTAAATGCTTTTATAATCGGAGAAAATAATTTACACATTTAGATGAAAAACTAACATGGACTTAATCTTCGGAGAAAAAACACGCAGAACACGCTTGTGTTATGACTCTCGCAATAGCAATGAGCGAAACTACCTAATCCTTGCACCATGTCACGATGAAAAAATGATAAACGCAAAAACTCAAGTCGCGAATGTTTAATGCGGTGCGTGACATTGACATCTGTTCGAAGAATGCGTAAGATTAATTACGGATTACGTAAGCTGTCTAACAAATAGTTTCGAAGTCAAAGGGTTAAAGAATATGTTACTCGGTTTTTTTTGCCGTTTTTAGAGTTGACTATACTTTACAGTTATATATATAACACTTTCTCTGTATGTCTCATTTTATTATTAAATATTAGACGTTACTCATCCCGAGTGTTTCACTTAAATTTATTCGGCAAACCACGCTAGTTTCGTATGAATCTTTTAAATCCGGGATGGTTAATATTTTATAAATAAGCTTTCTTATATTTGAGCAATTTTTCCATCAACTTTGCACAACGTATATATATATTTTTAGAATTATATGTTACAATAATTTTTTCTTTTTTGTCTTGCATCCACGAGTGCAATTTTTTTACATGCAAGTGTTCGAAAATCTACAAAACCATCTTTAATTTTTTTTAAACCATGTTATATTTTAGCTGTATAGTTGAACGCGTTGTTAGAGCGTAAGCGCGGTCATTTGCCGCGTGGAGATACCGCGATGAAATAGAAATGTGATAATTGGATGCATCCAACAGTTTCTGCGGAGCGTTTTCCGTCGTATCTTTTATTGGCGCATTTACAGTAAGCCGTTGGGGCCTTAATTTAGCACTTACCACGTGAATCCCCTCAGTGTCTCGCCTGAGATCGCCGCTCCTCTGGCCCGCGGTGACGGCGGCGCTCAGGTGATTGTAGTGGTGCTGGTGCAGCGTGTTGAGCGTTTGCGTGTAAGGATCGCCGACGAGGTAATCCAGGTGTTGCGGCTGCCCGAGACCGGGATGCTGAGGACTGGCGGGTGCGTGATGGTGCGAGGGGAAAGGGGGCGGAAAGTACGGGGGTTGAAAATCGGAGGCGGTCGGCAGCGAAGCGCCCCCATGGTGGGGCATACCGCCCCCGTTTCCGTTTCCCCGATGTCCATGGTGATGGGCACCGGAATAGGGCGACGAGTTCCCGCCGCCCAGCGAGGAAATGCCCCCATGACCCGTCAGGCGGTCCTGCGAACACAAACGACGCATATAATTATTACATTATATTTGGCACAATGTTTTGCAAATATAATATTTTGTGATGATATGATTCGTATGATAAATCATGTAAAAGATAAAATCTTTTTCATTTTTGTGAATATTAATCGATGAAGTCTGCGTGGATGTATCGATTAAAAAACTTTCTATATTCTATTAATTAATCAAATTTTTTTTAATATTTCATGATTCATTAATGAAACGATGAGCATCTTTTCGTTAATATTTCCATTTCTTTAAATCACGAAATACTTTGTACATTCAACGCTTTTTGATAAAGTTGAATTTCTCATTTGCTGCGAAAGATATCTAGCGAGATAGAAGCTCTTATCCGTGTTTATAAGTAACTGAAATAGATTGTAATATCGTGTTAAGTTTTGCTACTAGGAAAGCGCAAGAGGTTAATCAATTAGCTTCGCTGAGACACAAGAAAATGAATCTCCTTCCATTTACAAGATCCTAGCGCAGTCGCCGGCAAAGGATTCACTTCTCGTGGCGGTAATTACAGACTACATCGCACACCTGATCCGCGTGAGATAAGAGATACGTCACACAAAACACGTTGCATCCGACGCGAAGGGCTTAAGCGTTGCGCATCAGCCAGCGAGCGGACCGAAATTACATGGTTAACGAACATAGTAACGGGCATAGAATAGCACGCAAATTTCCTCTATCGATTAAATCTAACACGTGATCTTTAGATCGCATTTACAAAAACATTCGTCCGAAGAACTTTAGATTTAGATTTCAGATTAATATTCCGATTTTCGTTCCGGCATAGATAGTGCATTTCATGGTAATTCGAGAGAACCGTAGGTTTCGTGCATAAAATCGAGATCCGCGTGAATCTCGATTCGCGAGACCCCATCGACACGTTCGCGCGGCGGTCCGACGAAGAGCGTGCGCGTTAAATGCTGCTCAATCCGGTCCACTCAATCCGGTAATCTCGCGATGCGAGCTCTCGATTGCACGGTATTACTCACGCGCAGATAGTATCACCGAAGGTGTACCTGGGTATCGGTGGAAAAGCCTTTGCCGCGACGCATCGCCCGGCGTGAGCCATTAGGTTCTCGCTCGTCGCGATACGATCTCGAACGTCTCTATAAGCCGCAAAAGGGCCCAACTAAGGCTCTTCGTTCCTAAGGTGCCGCTGTTGTGCTCTTGTGCGCGCGTATCTAAAAGGCGCGTGGCGGCGCTAAGCGCATCGAATTCCTTCTGCTTTGTTAGACACGAACCCGGGTACACGGGCGTGAGCGTGAATCCAACCCTTCCGTAGAGAATCAAATTCCTCGGAATTGGTTGAGGATGAAGAAACTCGAAGATATGCGCACCTATCTCTTCCGCGATTGAGCTTTAAATACCGCCGCGGATAAACGTTCGCCGTAAGGCGAATGTCGTCGCGATGTTAATGCGCGCGATGCTCGAAACCGCAAGTTTCTCGCCAATTTTATTGTTCGCGGCTGTACAGAAATGTTAGGAAATTACTCATGGATTATATTTCATTCACTCGCTTGTGCGTGAAATCGAAAGATAAATGTCAGAAAATCTTTCGGACTTTCTGCATATACATATGTATAAACGAGAAAACAAAATTTAAGCATCTTTTTCGCAAATTGTAGTATAAGATTTCGGAAAACTCCTAGATTTTATTTATTTAATCAATAGATATGGAATTGTATTATGTTAATGTACGAATGTCATGTAGTGCAATATATACGTCCTACGAGGAGAAAACCGCCAAATAAAATTATGTACACCAATATCTACCAATGCCCAATTTTTAGATACTGTCAATGTTTATAAATAATGGTCACTAATGTCCTAGTACAGTAATGCGAAAGCGATGTTTTTACTTCTTTCAGGAATTTACGCACCACAATGATTCGTCATCCTCGAAAATACATTCTAATGGTTTTAATTTTCATAACTTAACAATGAGTCATATTTTTGTATGACAAATGCTACTTATTGAGTACTGTTACTTATCACTTGATAAATCTATGTATATGGTTAAGCAAATTGTCTAATTGTGTTACACTCTGCATATATAATTAAAATTCAATTCTTTGTTTAAATATAAATATTTCATGTATTTTAAAATCGTTAAAATGCAAATTACAACAAGACAGAAGATAAAGTTATTTATGTGTCATACATTGACACGAATACTTTTGATTGAAAGACATGTCGTAAATGGTAATTTCAAATCGGATATGTGTTTGTCTTGCACTCTTTCTCTTGTCTTGTCTTCCCTCGCGCTAATCAAACATCTCTTGAATCGCTGCCGAACGATGCTTGCTCACGCCTACAAACTAGCGCTGTGACTTACGCTCTCGAGATCATTGCCAAATAAATCGATAACAATCGTAGTTATTATTGCGTGAGGAGGAGGTGAGAGGTGGAGAAATCGCTGATGTATGAGCATGACACGGAAGTTCTGTACGGTGATATCGAGCGTGCGTAAGATTTTAAGCCGAACAATTCGCAAAAGCGGCAGCCTCTTTCGCAAAGAGCACGGCCGAACTTTCCTGCTGAGATCAGAGTTGATAAGATTGGAGAAAGCGTTCCCGTTGCTACGCAAACGTATGACTGGAAATATAATTAATAATCAATAAGCTAGTTTGTGCATTGCGAAATCGCGCGACGGCAGACTAGGCGTAAATAATTTTGGAGAAAAACAAGCACGTGTTTTCACGGGGACACGTCACATTCGACAACTTTAATGATCATCTCAGCGGCATAAATTCCTTAAATGTGATAACGAGAGGATTTTATAGCGTTACTTGCCAAATCTAACGGTATTAAAACGAAATAAAATAAATACTATGTTCTCTTAACGTAACATTCTCGTGTGACTATTTTATTTTATTTCATTTTTCGTAGTTTGTGTATAAAAATTTATATTTGTTAGCGCAATAAAGCAATATACTGTTAAATTATACTTCATATAGATATACCGAAAGCAATTAAAATCAAATGAGATTTTTTTTCGTATATATTGAAATCATCGATCGTTGGCACAGCAAATTCGACAAAGGCAACATTAGTATACTTGCGTGTAACTGTGACTGCTTGTGTCGAAACGGTGTTGTAAGTGCGAATTATTCATGTAAAAGATAAAAATGCACAAAGGCGCAACCGTTGTTCTTTTAGAAACACGAGTAAACGTGAGCTGAACATGACACGGGGTAATTGTGTCACGGATTTACAAGATATGTAAATTATTCCATTCGCGGGACAAATACTCGTGCAAAGTGTAACATAAAGTAAGCAAGGGGAAAGAAATTAATGGCAAAATGCCCCCAAGAAAGAGCACACAACAATTACGGCTAACTTTGCATTAATATCGGTTGAAGTTTGACAGGGTGCCCATTAACGCGTACAATTAAAAATGCGCAACCGCCGTAAATCTGCATAGTCGCCATAGTGAAGAGGTAATTGCTGCATACATTTACGCACTTTGACCCATATTCGCCATACATTCATCACGCACGGCAACGCGTCACGAATCCTGCGCGGATTAAAATTCAAAAATACGACAAAATTCTATTTTTTATTTAATTTTAAGTGGAATTCAAATCGCTCGGAAAAACGTTTGTCGTTTCACGATCTCCGTGAAATTTGCCATTTAATGAAGAGAGAGAGAGAGAAAGAGAGGAGGGACGATAAAGTATGTGGACCACACAGAACGCACCTCGATCTCCATAACCGCGGTCATGTCGACGTGAGGCGCGTAGCAGAGCGCAATCTTGTCGGCTGTCGGCGCCTCCGTGCGCGGCGGAAACATCCCTAAGATCTCCAGCTTGCTGGCGCCGGGATTTAGCGAGGGAAATACACTCCGACAGATTCGCGTCACCCGGAAGCCACTTCAAACACTCGAATTCTTCTTCGTACACATAACACAAGCGGCAGTCGATCGTTCCGCGTCACATACGCTTTCTCGTCGACCGTCGCATTCGCGTGGAAGATACACTGCACACTACGCCGAGACGGGCACATGTGAGTCGCACTTGTGAGGAAGGACACTACTGTTTTACTCGGAAAGCTATGTAACGATCCCGAGCGTCGTCGCGACACATTTTGGGCGAACAATTAGAAAGTAGGATTGCGAGGTACGTTAACACGTTGACTTCGGTGTTCACCGAAAGTTTTAATAAGATCTACTTACACAAATAAAACCGTTTCCGGGTGAATGTATCTGACCCTATAATCAGTCAACGTGTTACACAACAAGGATTTTCCAGAATTAAACGAACGAAGAATGCGTGCGAGTCACCTAACGTTTCCGCATTTTTATCATTTCAGAGTAAACGATGTCTAATCTTCGCGAATCTTTTTTTTTTTTTAACATAGAAAAGTGTGAAAGAGAAATTATTTGATTAAATGTCATTGTCAATAGAACAATTTTTTGTTATTTTTTTTTCGAGATTTCTAAGTCATTAATTTTTTTAAACGGAACAATATAAGTACAAAATAATCTTAGTCTGAAAAAAATGATCTTGACATAAAAGTGCTGTTGATAATATTTCCCCCAAACAATTTCTTCTGTACACATCTTCGCGTAAAAACCAACCAAGAATATTTCAGATGGGAACGTTAGGTGACTTACCCCGTGGAGTAAATCCTGCTAGTCCTGTGTACTGATGTGAATAAAAGATTACTAGCGTTCATAGCAAGACGTTGAATTAAAAACGAATCCCATTTATGAACTAAAGAAAACAAAAAAATTAAAAAAACGTAAGAAAATGTGGCGATATCGAGGGAAGATCGAGTCGCGCGAGACACTTTATTCATCCATCACTATGATTTTGGTTCCTGTAATTTATGCGAGCTGTAACGCTCTCGCGGCCACGAATGCTCTTTTGCCCAATATCGTTCTCCAAATCTTTTCGGCGGAATCATTTCCCCAACATTTGCACTGAAATCTACTTTGACCGCGACCGTGCTAATCGACTTGCGCGCCTTAGCGC